CATTGCGTACAAATCTTTAATCATCATCATCAGCTCACTATACGTCCCAGCGAGGGTGAGCTACGTTAAGGGTGATAATGCCATAGTCAACCACGCTGGCCAAGTGCGGGTTGGTTGACTTCACTCATATCTTTGAATTTCTTCTCAGATATGTGCAGGTTACATCACGATGTTTTCCTTCACCGTAAGAACGTCGAATAACTTTAATAAATAAAATAAATTACTTAACGAGCCTACCCTTGATTACCACTAAATTTGGTGGAATTTATAAATAATTCATACGTTTTTAGGGTTCCGTACCTCATAGGAAATAAACAGAACCTTATAGGATCGCTTTGTTGTCCGTCCGTCTGTCTGTCAAGAACCTTTTTTTTGTATAATTTGAATTGAATATAATATATTCAGTATACTTGTCAACGTTTATTTCAATGTAAATAATTAATAATTTAAAGTATTTTGTTATTATAAGGTTATTTATGTTTGTTATAACTCAAAACATCTAGATCCGTATTAATATTTATATTTACAAATTAAGTTTCCGCAGTAGCAGTGAGTTAATTGTTTATTATGTTTAAATTACAATAATTTTATACAATGAATGGAATGGTTTTAATTTAAAACACGTACATTTATATCATCTGTTGCCAGTGACTTTGTTTGCATGAAAAAAAAAAACAAATTAAAAAGATATCTTTATTTAGAAAAACAAAAGACGACTATCGTAGAATAGCCTTACATTTCGGAGTTTATTTTTTAGTTTTCGATCTCGTGGTTGGCCAAATGTTTTACTTCGAATATTATTTAAATTCCAACCGTTACCCGCGGCTTTATCGGCGCAGAATTTAAAACGAAAAAAGTAGAATATAATATGCCCGCCATGCCGGAGATTACCCGGAACAAACGCGGCCTCGCGGACAGACAAACAGAAATTTATAAATTGGTTTGTAACATCGATATATTCATGTCTTTTTCCTTCTTCATATATACTTAGAAGGTTAGAAAGCTTTACTTCACATCCTTTGATTCGTGGAAATTCACAAACATACGTCTAAGTATAAAATTCTGATAATCATTAAATCTTCAGTAGATATGTGGCATAATTTATTGCGCGCTCGGACGATGAACTGTCTCGGCCTAATATTCATGGGTACTAAACATTTATTATTTAGATCGCCCTGATTCGGTGAATGTTAATTGCCTACGTCAGCATCAGAGTAAAATTGGGGCAATTGTGGTCGAATCATGCTCTGGCATAGGTTGCGGTGTCACGTAACATATGTATACTGAGTTTGTAATATATCAAGTAACATTATATACCAAACTTCATGATATTCATTTAGTAAAATGTGGCAAGCTAGCTACTTAATTTCTCCAAAAAGTCGAAAGCAGATGCGTTGCCTAAATGTGCTCACAGATAATATTTCCAAACTACGTCCTTTCCTCCCACCAAATCCATTTTCCTTTCCCAATCACTCCTTATACAATGGTGGGAAGAGAATTAGAGAATTAATTACGTGTGGTTTTTTAATTTATAGAGGTAGAGGTAACCTACAGAATAAGCTAAATTTGGCAAAGGGGTCGATAAATCGCTTTAAGTAGCAATTATTGGGAAGGGAATGAATCACGAATTACCGAACATTTACGGGAACACGATTGACCTTAATTCCCTAAAAACATTTTTAGTCTATGTTTCCACTGGCAACACATCTACAAAATATTTCTATTCTTCTTATTTACTTAAAAAATTGTTTACTATTTTTAGGCGGTATTAGTTAGAATCATTTGGCGCGAATGACGTGCTTTCGTTACAAAGTCTGGTACACAATGATTAGTGAGGGGTCATAAACGTCAACTTTTAGTAAGACTAGTGTTGTGCCAGTACACCAGCACAGTGTGAGTGTGTGTGTAACTCACTTACTTATAGCAAATAGAAATTAATTCGAATTTAAAATAAACTAGGTGTTGCCCGAAACTGCGTTCACGCGAAATAAAAAAAGACTATTATATTATTCAAACTTTCGTGAGACATTATACTAAACTGATATATAAACACGGCTAAACACTCACGTATATTTGTCCGGTGGCGGCACCGACTAGTTTCGAGCCCATCGGGGGCCCTTCATCAGGATGAGTGGTACTGGTATACAGTATGGGCTCGAAACTAGTCGGTGCCGCCACCGGACGAATATACGTGAGTGTTTAGCCGTGTTTATATATCAGTTTAAAAAAAAAACTAATTTAGTAGTAGTAGTAGTAGTATAATTCTAGACTGTGTTCTATATACGAAATAAAACAATATCCATGAAGTTGTTCTCGATATACCTTCTAACAATTCACCTAAACATAGAAACATTCGCATTATAATATTAGTAACATTAAATTTTATTTCCACATTTTCAAAGACTAATATTCGTTTACATATGTTTTTGTTGTTCATATTACCTAATTAACATTTATCATGTATCAGTTTGATTTAGATAGTCCATTAATTAGCCAGCTCTTGCCAACTCTGACATCTGTTTGAGTCAGATATTTATAGCCAGAGTGTTATGAGCATATGAGATGAATTCTAACAACATTGATCATCATTTAGCTGTTCTAAAATAGATTAATGTCTTGTGAATATTTGTTATGTTTTGTAATTTAAATTGGACACATTATTGAGTACCTTTTTAGTGGAAAACATTTTTTTTTACATTATAAGGTGGCAAACGAGTAAGTGGCCACCTGAAATCGCTGAAATAGCGAAGTAACCGTTGCCGATAGATATACGCAATTGCATATGCGGAGAAGAGGTTGCACAGAAAGAAAATATTTTCCCCTTCCATGCATCTTCTCCTCCGGAAAGTCCACTTCCATTTCCCATCCTTTGAGAAAAAGGGTGGGAAGGGAAAGATGACTAAATTAGGCCTGTAAAACATTCATCTTTTGTGTGAAAAACAATAGAAAATCGGAGTAATTTAAAAGTGTGAACAGAAAATAAAAAGGTAATGGAAGTTTATAATCTTACATATAAAATTCTCGTGTCACAATGTTAGTTACCATTCTCCTCCGAAACGGCTATGATGAAGCTAGTCTGGATATAGATTTTTGTGATAATAAAATTATTATTTAAATCGATAAAAATGACAATAATCAAAATTATAAAATACATAAAAAAATCCTTTTTGACTTTAAATTTTAACAGTTTGTATTAAAATTTAATTAATCTAACAAAAATAAATCTAATAAAGTTTGTGAAATTGTAAAATACAGTATCTAATTAATTCGTAATCGTCTGAGTTACTCGAATATTTTTTGAACAATAGAATTGAGTTCTTTTGTACTCGACTCGAATATAAACCACCTTTTCTAATATTCATAAGGACTGATATTAATTACAATTCAGATATAAGGCGTTGTATATATTATGTATAATATAATACTATGTATGTAAGAGCGTCGGTGGCTCAGTGGTCAAGCACTTTACTTGCAATCTGCAGGTCAGGGGTTGGGCCGCGGACGAGAGCGAAAGCGTGCCCGTGGTCCCGTCCCGATGCGTTGGAGGAACAAAGGGGTTTAGTGGGTATGCCTCCGCTATGGAGGAGAATCCCACATAACTACCGCGTCCCCCCGGGGCGCGGAGTATGCATAAAGCGATCCCATCTGAAAAAAAAAAGGTCAGGGGTTCGAAGCCCGCCATGTACCAATGTGTTTTTTGATTTCCGATTGACATATGTTCATTTATCCGACGTTCTTACGGTGAAGGAAAACATCGTGATGCAACCTTCACATATCTGAGAAGAAATTCAAAGATATGTGTAAAGTCAACCAACCCGCACTTGGCCAGCGTGGTTGACTATGGCCTAATCACCTTAACTTAGGGTAGAGCCCCTCAGTGTGGATGTACAGTGAGCTGATGATGATGATGATAATGATGTGTTATGTATTATCTTTTGAATAATCTAGAAGTATATAGTTATACGAACTAAAGTAATGTTAATCTAGACTTAATAAAGACTAGAAATAAAATTCAATAATGTCTTGTGACTTTAATCGTAATATTTCAAAGAAAAAATACGATCAAGTGCGAGTCGGACTCACGCATCGAGTGTTCCGTACAAAACTGTAGGTAAATAGGTTTTGGTTTTCTCAATTTTTCCTTTACTTTTTTCGAAATTAAAAAAAAAATCAAAATTACTTAATATTTTCTATATGTGGGCCAAATTTCATCGAGATCTGTTCCTGTCTGAGATACCTTCAAACATCCATCCATCATTCTAAACATTTGCATTTATAATATTAGTAAGATATAAGATGTTGCTTCGTACCAAATTTCAAGATTTTAAGTTCACGAGAAGTCGCCTGTAAGTTTTGCTTCACTTGCGAGTGTCGATTTGCGCCAAAAGGATAGACAGACGGTCGGATAACAAGGTGATCCTATAACGTTTCTTTTTTTCCCTTCGAGGTACAGAAACCTAAAAATAATGTCTAATTTCAATATAATCAAAACTTATATTGAAAGTGTCAAACTCAGTCAAGAAATTGTAATTTAACGGACACAATTACAAATTAGTGAATTAATTAACAATTTGTTAAAATTAGGTTTCGTCGCTCAGCAACTTGGAAGATGTCCAAGAAAACAAATTTATCTTAATCACATCCTGTGATCGCATTTTATAAAATAGGTGTTCATGTTTTAAAAAGCGATGACTAACTTCGAACGATTTAACGGTTTTATGGTATACGATAATATATGTAAAATTATAATAAACTAACTGTCGCCCATGACCCCGTTTGCGCTGAATTAAAAACAAACACAATTAGTAGCCTATATTTTCTTCCAGACTTTGTTCTACATGTGTGCCAAATTTCGTCAAAATCCGTTGATCCGTTCCGGACATACCTTCAAACAAACATCCATGCATCCATCTATTCGTTCATTCATATAAACATTCGCATTTATAATATTATATATTATATTATTATTGTCTTATTAACGGGCATTTTCATTGTTTCAGGTAAACGGAAAATTAACTCAATATGACGACTGACAACGCACTTAATTCTCAACGGTAAATTAAAAAAAAAAAGAATTTAAATTTACCACTAATTGAAATAATTTTAAAATCTTTTATCGTATTCACAGAGTGTTTAAAAAATCATCACCAAATAATAAATTAACGCTGTATTTGGCTTCCCGCGATTTGGTCGTGGAGAATGGTTATATTGACAAGATCCAAGGAGTTTTGCACGTGGAGCCTGAGTGTTTGGAAAACAAGAAATTGTTCGGACAAGTCACGTTAACCTTTCGGTAAGTTTTTTTTTATCCAAACATTTTAATACCAACCTTGATCTGTCAAAAATCGGAAAAAGTACTTTTAACAAAAAAAAAATCGCGCAAATATTCATTGAAATCGAAGATTAACAAATTAAATATTTAAATAATCATAATCAATTGTTATAAGTTCGAAGAGTTCGAAGCTTCCCATAAGGTAGGTGTGACTAGGCCATAGTCAACCACGGCGTCCCAGTGCTGGTTGGTTGACTTCACACATATCTTTGAATTTCTCCTTAGATATGTGCATGTGATATTTTCCTTCGCCGTAAGAATGTCAGATGAAGTCGGAATTCAATCATACCTAATACCTCTAGTCTTTAAAAATGTTAATGTTTTTTTAGCTATGGCAGAGAAGATGAAGAAGTGATGGGACTAAAGTTCTGCAATGAAGCCATAATGAGCATGGTTCAAATCTGGCCGATACGTTGCAGTCACGACAGAGAACCGAATTCTCCGCTACAAGAGGCGTTGATAAAACGTTTGGGAGCGAATGCGTTCCCATTCCATTTGGAACTGACGCCACTGGCGCCACCTAGCGTGCAGCTGGTGCCAGCAAAACAGTACCACGGTGCGCCTATAGGCACCTCATACGATGTACGAGCATATTTAGGTAAGAATCATTATTAACCTGATATATAGAATAGTTATAGATTATTCGTTAAGTTACGTTCATCTTAGTTTCTTGAATATATATTATACTTGAAAAATCTTACTTTAACTTCCGGTTATCTTAACAAATAACGTAATTACCAATTTTGACTATCATGTAATTGTTAAAGAGTTTATTTTCGGTGGAATTTTCGTTTGAAAACTTTGTTATTACAGTGCCATCTTTTTGCAATGATGGGCAACCATCGAGAGTAACTTACGCTCTCGAAAAAGCGGCTTCGAAAACTTTATTATATCTAAACATAATCGAAAAGTCTGTATATATATCTAAAGAAAGTATTTTGCCGTAGCCGAGAGAGCAGATGAGAAGATATCCAGGCGTAGTACGGTGCGTATGGGCATCCGAGTGCTGCAGGGGCCGGGACGCGTTCCCCCCGCTGTCCTGCCCCACTCCCCGCACCACAACACGCTCAGCGCATTGGCACATCATAATGTACTCAGGTAACAGAAAATAATGAGATGTATTTTGTACTATTATATTGTTTAATATAATAGTAAGGAATTGTTATTACTAGTAGATTCAAATTAATAATAAAATATTTCTATTGTTTATTTAAAAATAAAAAAATACTGATCAATATATTCGATATTTAAATTTGAATAAATAATTCAGGGATATAGATGGCCAGTCCTATCTATGGTTGAAAGTGTTAAATAATTTAAATTAAAATAAAAAAAAACCCTTTCATAAAATGTTGACGTTTAAAAGGCAGCGTAATTTTATTTGAATGAACTCTTATAACTTATTTAAGTTGAAGCTAAGTTAATAGAACTCAAATGCTGCTTGATTAAGAATTTATTCAACACGAATTCTACGTAAACGCAAATAAATGTACGATTTTTTTGCTTACAGACTTAAAAATAAAACAAAAATGGAATCAGATGAAAATTCACGAGGAAGAAAAAAAGAAATCGGTGAGTAATATTATTTTTTACAGAAAAATTAAATGGCGTATAAATATTTAGGATATAAAGGCGTTTTTCGACTGACACATTTGGAAAAAAATGTTATCTCACAAATTGCATTTGAAAAAATAGAGACAGCGATATACTTAATATAGCTTAACGTGTGTATTTGTGTGTGTCTGTGTGTATGGGTGAATGTATGTACGTGTTTGTGTAGATGTGTGTGTATGAGTGTGTATGTGTGTGTATCGTTAGCTTATATATGTTACAACATGGAGTTCAGACCCAACATATGGAGTGACTAGACCATAGTCAATCACACTGGCACATGTAACAACGCGATATGATGTTACAGTCAACAATGTGAAACTTGCCAAATGAAACTATTATTGTGAATGTTTAAAAATAACACATAATAAAATTCATCCTACGATTTGCTAAATATACTTTAACGTTCGCTCTTTTGTGTTTAATTTGTCTGTGGTATAAAAAATTTTGTTTTGTTGCAGAGAGCTTGGAACAGGCGGCGCCGCGGGCGACTGTTGAAAAGCCGTTTTTATTATCTGATGGCAGGTGAGGTTTATAAATATAAAATTGCACTTTATTTTTTTAGGTAACGCTAATATAAATCCGTCTTTCTTAATTGGATGTTTGTTTTTTAATGTATTTTTAGTGTGGCCTATGACGTTGTTTGTTTCTTATCTGTTAACTCTACATTGCTTAAATTAAAAAAATATATATTATTTTACAATAACAAATAAAGAAGTATTACAAAATGAAATAAACAAAATATAAAGTTACAATCACGAATGCAAAAAGGATCAGCAAAAATGTATTCCACTCGGCAGTGAAACCAAACACCAAGAAAGTTAACAAGAAAAAAAGTATAACAGACCAGTATTATAACTTATAATTAACGTACTTGAGGTAACTTTCTAGGGTGGAGCTCGAGGGATGGTTAGATAAAGCAACTTATTCTCACGGTGAATCTATACACGTTACTATCGTTGTGTCCAATCATTCATCGAAAACTGTGAGACGGATCAAGGTACTGCCATTAATGATATTAATGAATCCTAGATTTAACTATTCATTAGATTCTTTGTTAGTTTATTGTTAAATATAGTACATGATTTTGTGTTAATATTATCAATAAATTAAGAGATGATATAAAAATGGCTAAACACGTATATTCGTCCGGTAACGGCACCATCTAGTTTCGAGCCCATCGGGGGCCCTCCATCAGGACCGTTCAGGACCATCGTTACCGGACGAATATACGTGAGTGTTTAGCCATTTTTATATCAGTTTAGTATAATGTCTCACGAAAGTTTGAATAGTTTAAATTAAAAGATGTTTAAGATGGAAAGCAATGATTCAAATTCATATCGTCTTTTAGGTTCTTGCTATTCAACACGTGGATGTGTGCATGTTTTCGAATGGGAAATTCAAAAATGTCGTAGCCTTAGTCAAAGGACCAGATACTCCTGTTGCGCCTGGTGAAATATTCACAGACAGTTACAATATAACACCGCATAGAGGTAAGGATATTTTATGTTGTTTGTTCTCTAAGTATCAAACTAAAATTATAAATGTGAATTTTTGGATGGATGGAGGTTTGTTTGTGTCTCTCTTAAAAGGCTGAACGGATCTTGCTACAATTTGGCATAGATGTAGAATATAGTCGATAAGAACATATGCAATTAAGTAGCTTACTAACATTAAAAATATATAGACTTGACTAAACGTTCATATTTGAGACCAAAATCTCTGTACGTAACATATCATTACCTCATTATCATAGACAAAACAGAGATAGCAATATGCTTTACCGGGTTTTTTGGTCTCAGACACAAAAGATAAGTTAAATAGCGAACTATTAAGGAAATTATTATCGTTAAACCATCGACAATTTTTTAAAGATCAAGACAAAGACAAAGTGCATTCGTTCCGAAACAATTCCATAGCGAACCTCAAAATTGTATGGACGCACGACAATCGAAAGTTTTATACGTTTTTGAAGTTCGTTGTGGAATCACTGCGAAGCGAATGTACTTTGTCTTACCCCCATTTGTTTTAGGTGTAACTAAAAACTGGATTGCTCTCGAAGATTCTTATTCGAAATCAGGTGCAAGCCTCGCATCTACAGTATTATGCAACTCAGACTCACCTGACGATCGCAATGTGTTTGCTATTTATGTCTCCTATTATGTGAAAGTCAAATTGACTTTTAGCGCCATGGGAGGAGATCTATCTCTTAAACTTCCTTTCACATTAACTCACTCATGCATAAACGAAGCACCAACAGACAGTGTTATAGAGGAAGCTACTCATAAAATGATATTAGAAGGAAAAGAAAATAGCGACGAAGAAGAGAGCAAAGCTGAAACAGAAAATGATAAACAAAATAATAACGGACATGATGGTGTTAAACAAGAAACAGCATTCGGTGATGATGGAGAAATTAAATCACCAGAAGATCATAAATGTATAGCCGATGTTCTAGTCAATATTGAAAATAAAATAACTGATAGACCAAAGAAATTTGAAGGACAAAATGTTGTTCGGAATGTTAAACCGAATGAGGAGGAATTGGATTTGATCGTGAAGTATCCTTGTTCGGACACGTGATCCGACGATGTTAATATAAAACAAGTTAACAAGACTGATCAATCGAACGAAGTGAAAGCACCGGATATTATAAAACAATTTAAAATTGACGACCAAGTGCATAAATCTGGGTTTGCTGAGAATCTGAAAAGAGCCGTTTGCTGTATCGACCGTCGACGACAGTCATAATGTTAATTGGAGTTTAATTTTAATCCTTGTAAATCTGGATACTTTAAATGACATTGATTGATACTTTAATTAATATGCATTATTATAACTATAAAAAGCATTTATAAAACTTGTTTAACGTTAAACGTTAGTTTACAAATCTAAGTCTCTATTAAACTTTTATTAACTTTGCATTAATTCAAAATGTAATTGATTACAAAAAAAATTTCGAAGTAAATTTTGATGAAATAGTCAAAGGTCTTTTCTTAAAGCCTTGATATTTTTCTACTAAAACAGCGTCGAAGATTTGTTGGTGTTTACAAGTTTCATATCTAGTCAATAAGTTTCTATAGCCGTGTTAAGAAATAAATTTAAGTACTTTATCGTATCAAGACTTGCTGGTCGCTGTATTCACGGTGACGTAATATTAAGCCTGAAGTTACGCTTACTAAATTATAAAGTTATTAGACTCATCTCATTGATTAATAAATATTGTATTAAAATGCAAGAAATTAAATATTATATATAATTATATATTTTAAATGCAATCTGTTGGCATATCTAGTCAACTCTAGTTTAATTAAAATTAATTTTTAATACTAAGTGTACGTATGCTTTAACGTTAAATAAACGTCACATTTATATCGTATGTGCACTAAAATATTTTAGAAAATATTGAGCACAAAATTAAATATAAGTTTAATTTTATCTGTGCCTAAAAATTAAAGTTGTTGTGTAAAATTTCACGTAATAAATAGCTTATTTCTTTTCATCATCATCTCACTATACGTCCCCACCGAGGGCCTCGGAGCCTACGCTAAACCAAGGGTGACTAGGCCATAGTCAACCACGCTGGCCAAGTGCGGGTTGGTTGACTTCTTATTTCTTTTCAAGGTCAATATAAAAACACACTTAAGACAGATTGTTTTAAGTCTTTTATCGACTTGGTATTAAATCTAGTATCAAATTGATTCAATTCCAAGTGTCTAGTGTAGTAAATTAGACATTGGACATTTTTAGCTTTTAAAGGTTCATAATGTATAAATAAGTATAAAGTTATTAATGTGTCAATTATCCGCATATTATATATATATATATATATATATATATATATATATATCTATAAAATTTTTACTACAAACGTGCATATTTAATTCAAACTAGTTATATAATAAAATATATAAAAATAATAAATAAAAATAATTTACGATAACTATATAAGAAATCACTTGAATTAATATTACTGTCCAAATATGTAGTTTAAAATGTATTAACTCAAATTAATTTATGTTTTATTTATATTTTCTTACATAATGCTTTAGTTTTATCTATTTTCACATATAAGATGGTCGCGCAATTCCGGCCGCAGTGGAAATACGATTAACACACGCGGTATGTAAAAGCGACAGGAACAGTGGAAAATGAATCTAACTGTAATTAGCTATTGAGTTGAATTTCCGTCTATTGTAATCGTATTTATAATAATCTATTTAATGTATATTGAATGTCTTATGTATATAAATGTAAATAAATTTTAAAATTAATCTTTGTTGTTTGCTTCCTTTGGTTTTCTAATACCCTATGACTTAGTTAAGAGACAGTTTGGCTTACTTATTGTTGAAACATACGTAGGGCACACACAGGAACATATGACCATGTACACATCATCATCAGCTTAATATAAGTCCCCACTGGGGACCTCGAAGCCTACCCTAAGTTAGAGTTTACCACAGTACTTATCACGCTGACCTAGTGTGTGTTATTTCACATATCTTTGGGTTTCTTAACTAATATGTGCAGGTTGCATCGCGATGTTTTCCTTCACCGTAAGTACGTCGGATAAATATACATATGTAAATCTAAAATTGAAAAACCCACATACATATTAATTATTTAACATTAAATTAAATTCATTTGTCTACTAGATCTATTGTAGTAAAAGTTTCTTTATCATACCAATAAATACTTCAAACGCGCAGAAAATTAATATCTGCGAAATTTATCATCCAAATATTCCCTCATGATATTTTATTTATTAACCACATAAATCACTAATTGGACCGAGATAATATTGATAAATGTGTTTTACGATATTGTTATTATTTCCGACATAATGAACTGTTATGAACTATAACAAAAATCTCATATTATATTTCCTTCGTCATCAGATTTTTTTTTTTATATCACAAGGTGGCAAACGAACGAGCGGCCACCTGAAATCGCTGAAATAGCGAAGTGACCGTTGCCCATAGACATACGCAATTGCATATGCGTTGCCTACCTTTAATCGACGGAGGAGAGGATGCACAGAAAGAAAATATTTTCCCTTTCCATGCATACCCTCATCCGGAAAGTCCACTTCCACTTCCCATCCTTTTCTTATAAGAAAAGGATGGGAAGGGAAAGAGGACTAAATTAGGCCTCCAGGACGCACACTCATCAGACGAAACGCAGAATGTCTTCCACTTCACGCCTGTTTTCTGTGTGGTGGTGGTATTTCACCGGGCGAACCTGGCCAATTCGTGCGAAGATGTTAAAGCGGGTTCTACCACTCTTAAATCAGATCATCAGATCACTATAACCGAAGGGCTCGGAGCCTACACTAAGTTAGGGGTGATTACGCCATAGTCAACCACGATGGCCCAGTGCGGGTTGGTTGACTTCACACATATGTCTATTATTTCTATTTCACCCCAGACGTTTAAGTAAGTATAAATAGAAAACTATAAATATAAAATTTCCAGTTAACGCGAAGTTTCCAATAAAGCGAGGTCAACAATCAATTGACTGCTCTTGACATTGATATGTTTGCAATTTAATATTGTCGAGTTGTTTTCACTTATGCCATATTTTTTTAATAAATGCTAACGTATTTTTTCTTTAACTATGAGACCCCAATTTTCGATAATCCAAAGACATGTAAACACTTACTCGCTACCTACCCAAAGTGTGTTGTTTCCTGCCAGTAGTTAACGTTATGAAAAAAAAATAATTAAATGATTTTTTTTAATTCTTTTATGGTTCCGAATTACAAGTGTCCAGTATCAAACATTTAGATAAATACCATAGCTATGGTATTATTTTAAAGACTTTAGACAGTGGTCAAACTTATCAAGATTCTTCACTGACCAGTACATCAATTTTTGATAACTATGTGTGTTCAAATTTATAAAAAAAAACAAAAGAGAAATTTGAAATATTATTTTAAATTAGGAACGCGATCTTTTTAATAAAAGAACGCTATTAATTTATCTGAATGAATATTAATTTAAATTCATCATTCATCGGTCATTGAATAGGCATACATAATCCAAGCGGATCCCCAATGAACGGATTAATTGAAGCGCCTGACAGATTGCAAATTAAAATAAACGGGAATTTTAGCTAACATTTAGATTTAATGAAAACGACTTCACACTGTGAGCAAACTGTAGGATTTCTTTATGTCAACTTAAACTTAATTATAATTATTTCTTAAATCACAAACCTAACAAATAATACTAGGTATGTATTGAAAGTAAGTCGTCTAGGTTAATGCCTTCAACTAATAATTATGACGTTTAAAAATAAAGTTATTTATGGCTAGCTGGTCCTCGTGACACTGTTCTGCGAATTACAATGATTTATTAGTAGACTATGCATTCCACCAGATTATGTTCTTCATCTATATCAAATTTCATTGAGATCCGTTAAGCCGGACATATCTTCTAACAAACATCCATACAAACATTCGCATTTATAATATTAGTAAGATTACGCTGTTGAGATGACTCGGTTAGGATGAATAACACGTAGTAAGTGATTGAGAAATTAACGTAGAGATTCGTCTTAACAAATGGATTGCGTAAAAGTTGATATAATTAAGAAAGGATGCACAAATAAAATATTGATGTTGAATACAAAGACTTGATGACATTAATAATGACGTATACATCTATTAATAAGTATCGAGTATGATGCCACTAAACACAAAATTATGAAGCTTTAATACTCGCATCCTGTCATGAGCAAGCTACCGTGACAAAAGTGCAATATCGCTTTGTAATATTCTCGTTAAATCGCTTTCTCTTATCATGTGGAGTGACAGCTCGATATCAAACTAAAAGGATCACTAATCCGTTTTGTGAGATCATTCGCCCCAAAATAAGCGACAGTAATTTTGGTTTATGTAAAAAGTAATTATTTTTATTCACTATAAAGTAAATTTCCTAACAGGATAGTTTCATGGAATGTCTTGTCTCGCATAAGCTTTCTTGAATAGCATACCTTAAGCAGTAAAGTGGTCCTTTAAAAGTTAGTGTACATCTTTTTCAAAGTCTAACAACGAATATACATTTCCCTAATTGATGCAAAAGCCTATGGGCTTCAGTGATTAACACAGTTTCTTAGACCACCTTTCTCATCATATATAAAATTCTCGTGTCACTATGTTAGTTACTCTGTTCCTCTAAAACGACTTGACCGATTTTTATGAAATTTTGTATGCATATTCAGTGGGTCTTAGAATTGGTTACTATCTATTTTTTACCTGTATTTAGTTATAATTTTTCTGTATTTAGGGTACGAAATTGTAAAGCAAGCGTATTTCCCGTTCATTATCATTGAAGTGCGTCATTGTGTACGTCAGTTGCCACTCGATTAATGTATTTATACAACGAATTATAAGAAATCGCAAGATGAGTACTCGATGCACATATACATGCAAATTTATCTCATCGTACTTGGGATTTGAAAAAATAAAATAGACAAATTTTACTAATCATATTTTCTTATTAATATTATAATACCTAATGCTGGATGTTTGGATGGATACTTTTTAGAAGGTTCAACAAAGTTGGCATAGATGTATAAGAAAGTCTGAAAGAACACATACTAATTAAGATTTTTAATTTTGCTCGGCCGGAGACTAACATTTTATATTCATGAACATGAAAAAATTTATAAAGCATTTCCTACGATGATTTTATAACTAAAATCATTTTCTGGATAATTTACTTGAATGTATACTTAGGACAATTTAACAAAGATGCACACAAAGGCTTTGAAATGCTGTCGCATCATTCCGGAAGCTGTG